AGAAGAAATGGTTATTACTTTGATAAACCTTTGCTTCTAACCAGAGTATTGGTAAAACCAGAAATAATAATAAGTACTCTAAAACATGGACTTAATCAAATGTTTCATTCCTCTTTTGCCCCACTCTTAACCCTGTTAGTTCAGAAGACCACTTGGAGAATGGTCTCTAGTCTGGTCCCTCAGAACCAACCACTGATCTTGTTGGGAACAAGAATCTTCAGTAATCAGAGTTCTAGGTGATGTTGAATATAGATAAGTAGTTCTTACTGTGTAGGGAGGAATTCACATTAGTAGACCTAGGGTTTCTGAATATCCATATGAGTTACAAATATCCTGAGACCTATGTGTTTGTGTAACAGCACTAAGAAAGCAACATTAGTTTTGGGTCATATGTTAGTGGCCAGTAACCACAGTTGGAACTGAAAAGTGATTGCATAAATCCTGCTGGTTTTAAGTGGTGTTGTAAAAGGTGCTGGTCCCTGCTTCATCTGTAGTGATTTTAGAACATTCGGTAGCTTCTGTTATGGTTGTTGGCTATACTGATAAAAGAAAGCCAGAAGGAAGAAATAGAGGTTTCCACGTGAAACTTTTCTTCTGGTCTTCCCATTTTTATTTCTAATCCCTGCTCGCACTTTTGCTCTCTGGATAATTCACTTCAGAAATGATTTTTTAGAAAACCTCTCAATTATATCATCCTCCACCTAACCCCTGCCCCACCATTTGGCAGTAGCTTTTTTTCAAATTAATCATTAGCATGTTCTTTTATTGTTTTGTTTTCATTTTTGATCTTTTGTCAGCCTGCCTAAAATGATCTTTGTGTATAAACTCCACCTCCAACCCTAGAAATGGCATAATTAAATTGTATTATGACAAGTTGACCTGCTGAATGTTAGCTGGTGAAGAAGATGTCAGTGCTTATTTTTGTGATCTTATTTCCAGCTAACTTGAGAGCTGCCAGGAAGAGGACCAGTAACTTCCAGTCTTTTTACTAACAAAGACCTCATTATCTTTCCACCCCTTCCCACAATTCCATGAGTTGGAAGTGTTTTTTTTTAACCAAAGGAACTGCATTTATTAAGTGGTGTTTTCTTTTTCCAGTTTTATTAACCAAGGACCTATAGCTGGGTCTGAAATCAAAACGTATGCTGTAGATAGGAGTATCAACATTAAATTTGATTTTTCAGATGGTTAATATTTGTTAACATGTGTACCTTTGAGTAGACAATTCCATTAACATTTAAAAAAAATAGAAATAATGTAAAGTCCCTATTCTGTGCTCTTTCTTTCACTTTGCCCCTGTCCATCCTCTACCCCCAGTTATAGACTTGGGGTGGATCCCAAGCTGAGTGTATGATCTGTACCTTGGGAGTGTTTAGTTTTGTAAGCAAGTTTTTTTTTTTTTTATGGAAAAAGATATTTTAAAATAATCACAAAAATAAAATTTTATTAAGCCAACTACCAACTCCCTCCCTCATTTGAGGGGAATATGATAGATAATCTGTCCTAATGCCATTGTTAGTCCTGTAATATCAGATGTCTTGTCCTGGGAACCCCAGATCATGAATTGTCATCTTTTGTAGCTGCATTACTGAGAGACCTTTCCTGTTCCTCTCCCCCAACGTTCACTAGTTTTTCTTGTCTGTGTTGGCTTTGTGCCTTCTTGAGTTTACCTGCTGCTTGTCTCTCACAGTGAATTGAGAGCCCTGGAAAGGCAGGTGTGTCCCCATTCATCTCTGGGTCCGCAGTGCTCAGAAACAGTGCCCACCTGGCACAGATGCATGAGGGCAGGACAGTGCAGCCTCCTTAGGATGCTTTCTTTGTGCTGGGCTCTGGCCCGAATACCCAGCATGGACTTGACTTTCATCTCTTTAATGCCCTCAGCAGCATTAAGAGGCAATGCATTACTGTTACTATTCCCATTTAATGATGGGGGACACATTTAAGTACTTGGTTAAAGTCGTACCACTTTGATGATTTTTTTTTTCTCTTTCCTTTGGCCTTTAGGGTGGACACGTAAAATCATTCAAATACTAAAAAGTAGAATAAGAAGAGAAATTAAGTCTGGAAAATAAGTAAATGGAATAAGCAGCCCCTTGAATAGTTGCGTTGTCTCAGTGAGAGGTCATTTGCCCTTTCTAAAACGGCTCCCTTAGTCACACTTCTGCTCTTCTCTATTCTAGATGCTTCATATCATGTCACATAGCAATGTAAAGTATCAGGCACAGAATCATATTTCTAAATTTCTCAAATTTTAAGCGTTTCTGTGTTTGGAAATTATTTGAACCCTGACTAGAAACAGTATATATATATTTATGTTGTTTTTCTCCTTTTACTCTTCTAACCATGCACCACTTCCTAACAAGTGGTGTGTGAGTTTGCTTGGGCAAATGATCCTGAAGAGAACATTTCCAAATAATTGAACTTCCTTGTTGCTGTTTGAGGTTGGGATTTAACAGAAAATTAAAGTTTTCTTTAACCAGATAAGAATTTGAGGTAATTATTAGTTGATGTTTATGTTATCTGTTACACTTTTAGAACATCAGCTTTGTATAATTGCAGTACCAGGTATCATCTCCAATTTAGTATAAAGAAAAAACTGAAATAACCAGGCTGATTTATCCAGTTAAACCATGAAATGGTGGAAGAAATAATGTAACCAAATTCATTTTATAAAACATTTTTTTGGTAGGATTTGTATGGAAAGATATGAACTGATTGTATCTCAAATACATGTGTATTAATGGTTGGACTTGGTTATAGTAGTAGCTTTAGACATTGTCAATATTTGAACAATGGAAGAGAGAAGACAGTTTTTATTTTAACTACCCTGATTTTTATGTTTATGTGTTTTTATTGCAAGCCACTTAAAATATCTTCCCTTCTTTGGGGATGAGATAGCTAAAAATAATCAGAAGAGCACAAAATAATATAAATCAACCAAAAATAAAAATGTGTGTTTTCCTTCTATAAAGAACATTAGTGAAAAGATGAGTTTACTTTATAGTGAATTTCTAAAAATATAACTGCTTGTAAAATGAGGGACACATGTATTAAAGCGAGAATGATTATAATTGTCACTTGTTCATAGTAGTGGCTTGCGAGTTGGGGCAGGTGACCAATAATAGGTTCAGGTTGTTCAAAGAGGGTTTAAATTAAACAGCTATAGATTTCCGTTGAAATTCCCAACAAGTTACAACTAGTATTTGTGTTATAAATTCTTCCCACTGGATTTTTTGTTTAAAGATATTTATTTATTTATTCATTCATTCATTCATTCATGACAGACACACACACACACACAGAGGCAGAGGCACAGAGCAGAGAGAGGCTTCATGCAGGGAGCCCAATGTGGGACTCAATCCCAGGACTCCAGGATCACACCCTGGGCCGAAGGCAGGTGCTAAACCGCTGAACCACCCAGGGATCCCCACCCACTGAATATTTAAATAGTAGGTGCAGCTAGCCACCATTACTCAGATTGTTTGACTTTGTATGGGGACGGCCATCTGCATTCCAAGATCAAGGTAAAGAAATGTGGGTCAGTGAGTAGAGTGGAGTCCTGAGCCAGCTTGCTGTCCTGGGGCTCTAGGTCACATAATGTATTCAGCCAACAAGCAATGCTAGGCAGACCTCCTGGAGACACTGAAGAGCCAGGGGTGTGGACTGAATGATCTTTAAGTCCCTTTCATTCTTACATATGTAGTGTTTAAGTTTAATAGATTTTTCCATCTGCTTCACTAATTTTCACTGAAGCATCCTTAGTAAAATTTATTGTACATACAAAAAAGAAAAATCGCAGTGTGTATAACTGTTGGGTTTCTGCCCTTCTTGCTCTATTTGTTTAGTTTGGACCAAGGAGAGGATATTTTATTGACAGGTTGTAATTCTGCTGGAAAATAATATGGATCCTACATTATTTGGGTGTTTAAGCTTAAATGGAAACAGCAGCTGAGTATTAACAGATGTGTCAAAGTCCTTGTGGTTTGCATTCTCTTCTTTTTGTGGTCAAAAGCTTCTTGAATTCATGTCTTATATATTAATGCTTATGTAATCATGCCTATACTTTAGTTTCTGGGATGAATGAATGATTTGTGGTACCCTTCCTAAATGAATTCATCCTTTTTTCATTTGAAAAAGCATCATTGTCCCAACTGATTGGTGAGATTTTTATCTAATGGCAAGAAATAGGGCGTTATTTGATCTTGTAGGAGTTAGTCTCACTCCTAGGAGTTAGGAAGGTTGAGAGTGTCCTCAGATGTCAACTAGTCCAGTCTTACAATCACTACAGGAATGTCTTATGCAGAATATTAGACAGCCTCGCCTTTGCTGAAATACTTAAAGTGATGGGAAACCTACTGTCTCTTCCAGTGTTTTATTAAGGAGCTTCTGCTGTTTTTAAACCAAAGTGTGCCTCCTCGTTACTTACACCTTCAGACCTAGTTCTGTCCTCTGAAGTGATGTATAACCTGTCCTTTTCTTTGATAGCACAGAAATATTTCTTCTCTCTGAATTTTAATTTTCTTAACTATAAAATGACTGTGACTTACATTGTCTGGTTATCTCACCAGGACTGAGGTAAAGGACACCTGAGATAATTGTGATGTTAAGCAAAAATCTTTTTCATGTCTCAGAGTATTAATATATTTTAGTTTTTTCTTTGGTAAATAGCCATATGAGAAAGACAGCCAGCCATCTGTTGTCCAGTGGTTTGGGAACCTTGATAGGCACTTTCCACATGATGTTCTTGCCATTAATGAATTGACTTGTCTCTTCGCTGAACATGTATTGACTATTCACTATGTGACTGAAGTGAATATAAAAACAGTGAACAAGACAGATACCTTCCCTGCCTTATTGAGACTTAAGTTTTCTTCTTAGATGTTTTTCTTTGAGATATAATTGCTTTTCACTATTCTAATAAAGTAATATTGTTAGTCTCTTTTTGCTCTTAGTGCTTTTGGTTCTTACCCAATATTTAACAGTATGTCTTTGATTTGTAGATATATGGAGTCTGGGAGTGATCCTTTTCATGTTGGTGTGTGGGCAGCCACCCTTTCAAGAGGCCAATGACAGTGAAACATTGACAATGATCATGGATTGCAAATATACAGTACCATCCCACGTGTCCAAAGAGTGTAAAGAGTAAGTAAAAACAGAACAAGAATATGGAAACTTAAGCACTCATAATAAAACCAGAAGTTTTATTTATTTCTTTAAAGATTTTGATTGATTGATTGATTGATTGATAGATAGCATGAGCAAGGGGAGGAGGAGGGGCAAAGGGAAAGGGAGGAAGAGGAAATTTCAAGCAGACCCGGCCCTGAGTGTGGAGCCCTACTTGGGGCTCAGTCTCATGTCCCTGAGATCATGACCTGACCTGAAATCAAGAGTTAGATGCCTAACTGATTGAGCCATGCAGGCATCCCAGAAGTTTTGTTTTATTCCAATAACATCAAAAAAAACTTTGAGATAACTTCAGCATATAAGCATCTGCTGGGTTTGTTTAATTTTTGAACTGATAATTTTTTGTTAACTGTGTTTTGAGAGGTTAACCCAGAATATGATTTGAAGTCTAATATTGGAGTGCAAAATGTATTAGTCTATTTCTTAAATATGCTTGTTTTCAAGAAACCCATTATATGCCTCTTCAGCCTCTAGGAATGGTAGTTAGGTGCTTGAAATGAAGATATTACCAAAAAGCAAGACCACCTGGAATTATTTTAAATTCCAGAGAAAAGTTAAGAGATTTCTTTGCCTGAAATAGACCACCAACACACCATTTTTAAGTTTTACATAATGTGTTGCTTAATTTTATTCATGCACTGCTCTCCCCAATTGGTTAATGTGACTGTGAGAAGCCAGCAACCAAAAGTACACTTAATTTGATTATTTGGAATTTAAAGTACTTTATAGTTCTATGATATGTATAGTGAGAAGTACAGTAATGGAATAAAAGTACTGTTAGAAGTTCAGTATTTCATTGACATTATGGGTGATATATATATATATTTTTTTAAATGGGTGATTTTTTTTTTTTTTGAGTAAGTTCAGCTGAGATTAAAGGATTTTCTGTAACAAAGATTTGAGTTTTTCTCATCAACTTGTAAGAAGGAAATCTTATGGTTTGAGAAATCTTTTCTCTAAATGGAACCCCATCTTAGGCCCATGTGGTAGATGATTAAGAACCTACCTATTCAAACTCTCTGGATTCAAATGCAGGCTTCTCCTGTATGTGAGATGATATGAGATTGTAGATGTGAGAATGGTAGAACCTGTTGTCCAGCATTAGAAATAGAACAGTTGTAATATCTTAGAAGCCTTCTCTCTCTTCTAGAGGAATTATTTTTAATAATTGTAGGACTATTCAGTTTTCTACTTTTTCCTATGTCAATTTTGTGAACTTTTTTTAAGGAGCTTGCCCATTTTATCTAAATTTTCAGATGTATTGGCCTCAAGTATTTACGTTCTCTGATTATATTTGTAAAATATATAGATCAGTGGAGATGTTGCCCTTTATCATTCCAATATTAACAGTTTTTGCCTTCTCTTGTTTTGGTCTTGATCCGTTCTTGCCTGAGGTTTGTTAATTTTATTAGTCTTTTTCAAGGAACTGCCATTTATCTTTATTAATTGACTTGTATTTTTTGTTTTATGTTGTGAATTTCATCTATTACTTCCTTCTACCTCCTTCATGGGCGAATTCTCTTTTTATGTTGGATACTTAGCTCACAAATTTTCATTTTCTAATGTCATAGTTAAGGTTATAAGTTGCCTCCTTGTACCATTTTTGCGATATCTTACTAGTTTTGACTTATAGCCCTGTTATTATTTAGTTCTGATTATTTTTTAGCTTCAAATGGTTTATTTCACCTCTAAATTTTTAGAGGGGTGTTTTAGAGGGGTGTTTTACATTTCCAATTTTTTCTAATTACTTTTTTGTTATTCATTTTTAACTTAATTGCATTATGGTCAAGAATATAGTCTATAATAGTACTAGTTTTGTTTTTTTTTTTTTTTTCAAATTGTTGAGGCTTGCTTAGTGCCTAGCATGGTGTCAATTTTTGTAAATGACCTTTTTGTTTTGGAAAAGAATGTATATTTTCCAGTTGTCAGGGTCAGAGTTCTATATAAATCCTTAAGGTTGGTTGAGCTTGTTAATTATGCTATTTTAAATTACACATCTTTTCTAAGTTTTTTTTTTTCTAAGTTTTTTGATTACTTGATTCAAAACTGAGATATTCTTCCACTATGATGATGATTTATTGTTTTATTCTTAGAGGTCTGTCAGTTTTTGCTTTGAGCGTTTTGAGGCAGTGCTGTTAGGTACATATTGTACTTTACTGGTGAATTGAACTTGTACATTACTATTTATCTCTAATGATACTTTATGCCTTAAAGTCATTCTGTGTTATCTAGTTTTAGTTAGCCACATCAGTCTTATTTTGGTCAGCATTTATGTGCTATATAGTTTTCCATTCATTTACTTTAAACCTTTCATCGTCTTGGTTTTAAGTACATCTTTTTAACAGCTGGGAGCTGGAGTTTAATCCTTTCTGAGAATTTTTGTCTTTTCATCAGAGTTTATCCCATTCATATTTATTGTCTTCACCTTTTGACATACTTATGCTCTTTCTATATGCTTCATATTTGTCCTACTTTTTTCTCTTTATATCTTTATGTCTGTTCCTTTTTTGGGGTTGATGCAAGTTTTTCTTTTTTCACTAGCTTGGGAGTTACAGTCAGTTGTTTTTAGTGATTATCCTGTTTTAATACACATATCTGTATGCTTAATTTAATAAAGTCGATAATTAATCCTTATCTCTTCCTAAACAACACAGAATCCTTAAAACACTTTACCATTTGATGTTTTTTAACTCCACAAATTATGAATATTATTATTCTGTATAGTAAAAAAAAAAATTTAGAATTACCCAGATGTTTGGTAAGAACTTGGTATATATCTTTCCATTTGGGATCAAATTCTTTTGGGCTATAAATCAAATACCCTTTAGAATTTCTTTGATGAGCATTTGTTGGTGATCAACTTTCTCAATTTTTCATTGAAAATCTCTTAATGATACATGTGCCCTTGAAGGACAGTTTGACGGAGTGTGGAATTCTAGGTGGACCGTTGTTTTCTCTCAGGTTATTGAAGACACATCTCTGATATGTCTTGTTGCTTTTGGGAAGTCAGCTGTTTGTGTTATTTTTCTTGCACAGGTGATCTGTCTCTTCTCAGGCTGCTCTAAGAGCTTCTATTCATTCTGCTTAGGATGTGTTAGGCTTTTTGGGTTAGGATTTGTGTTCTTTCGTGAGTTTGGAAAATCCTTAGCCATTATCTTTTCAAATGCAGTTTCTTGCCCATTCCCTTGTATTTTCACTCTGTCCACACCTTGCCTTTTCTTAGTCCACCAATGTAGGGTTACTTCCTTGGTTCTATCTTCCAATTCATTAATTCTCTTTATGTCTAATTTAAAAAAAATGTCCATTGCTTTTTTTTTTTTTAAGTCTTTTGTATTTCAGGCTTGTCCATGTCTTAAACATATTCAACACAGTTATATATATATATATATATATATATATATATATATATATATATACACAGTTTTATTATTCTGTGTCTGAAAATTTCAGTATTTGTAGACTTTGCATTCTGATTTTGCCATCATGTTTTTTTAGTTCTTGTTAAAGGTACTTGTTTCCTTTGTATTTTTTGATTGTGAGGTCATATTTCTTGTAATATTATGTAGGGAATTCTTTTAAGTTACATTCCTATGGAAAGGGTTTGCATTTTCTTCTCTATTGTAGTTACTCAGGAGCACCTTCAGCTTAAAACCACCTTAAATTAACCTCTTCTCTATGCATACCATGCAGATTAATTTGGACCACAGGTCCATTAATTTGGACCACAGACTTGTGTGAGGACCTGTCGCTAGAAAATCGTAGACGAGATTTCCCTGCCCTACCTCCATAGCCAGTGTTGAGGCAAGCAGGTTTCCTTCTTGATATCTTAGCAGTAGATTTGTTTCTCATTTCTTAGTCACCGTTACACTGAAGCTGGGATTCCAGCACTTTACAAGGGCTCTAGTTGTACTTTTTGCCCTCAGTAGGCCCTACTACACATTGTATTCTATTTTGTGCACTCGGTGTGGCTTTCAAAACCAAAGCAGAAGCAATCAGGTCAAAGGCTAGCTTTGTCATTTGCCTCCTAAAAGTCCTGCTTTGAATACATTTTTATCTGTTGAGCCTGCCTTCCTGCCTTTTATCCTTCCATCCTTAAGTATTTGTGTATTTGTTGCTATGCCAGCACAATGCATTTAAACAAAATATATGTTTAAAATATATTTTAAATGCCACAGCATTTTGATGGTTTTCATCAGGGTCATTTATTCTTCCTGAAGCAGAAGTTGGCGCATGCACTGTATTCTTTATGTCATTGCTGATCATGATAGCCGGTTCTGGTATGCCACTAAGCCACAGTTAATTCAAGGGCACATATTGATAGCTAGAGTTAATTCTAGATGCTAGGAATCTGTTTGGCTTATCAGTATATCCAGCAGTTGTGATTTTCTATTTATGAATCTAATGGTACTAAATTTTCTTTATTCCCATCTGCCTTGCCACCATCACCACCACTAGTGAACCTAATGAAATTGATGGTATAAGTGTAGGAAATAATTCTGATTAATAAAATAATCCACTGTTACTAACCCCTGCCAACAGTTTGCTCTAACGGTGGACTTGCCTTCCTTTCCAGCCTGATCACACGGATGCTACAGAGAGATCCCAAAAGAAGGGCCTCCTTAGAAGAGATTGAAAATCATCCATGGCTTCAGGGAGTGGACCCTTCACCGGCCACAAAGTATAACATCCCCCTTGTGTCATACAAAAACCTCTCGGAGGAAGAACACAACAGCATCATTCAGCGCATGGTGCTGGGGGACATTGCGGACCGAGACGCCATTGTAGAGTATGTCAGCACTTATCAGCATGGGGCCATGGGTTAGGGTTCTTGGAATGATCTCTCCTTTTAACTTGTTAGGGCCTGTGGACACTGTAATGGGGAGCGTTCTCAATTGGCAGGGGCTATGTCATTTGTTTCTAGAGTGCCTGGCCCAGTGCCTGTCTTATAGTTTCAGACTTCATTGTTCAGTTGTTTTTATTTTCATATTATGAGTAGGTTCTACCATTGCTGGGTGGCATCAGCGAATGCTGTGGCCTCTGTCCCTTCCTCTAGGGGTGGATCGGAATAGCTTCTTTTGTATCTTAGTACATTTATTTTTCATAGCGGCATCTTCTCCATTGTCATGTCTCTCTGCTTCCCACAGCAATCTGGAAACATGGGAAGGAGCACAGTCCTCTAAATCAGAGGGCGACATATGGGGCCTGTTACACATTGTTGTAAGGAAAATTTTAGGGGGCCACAGTAATGCCTCCATGGCTTGGATATTGTCATTGGCCACATTGTGCTGCAATATCAGGGTAGCTATAAGACCACATGACCCACAAAGCCTAGAATGTTTACTTTTTGGCCCTTCTGAGCCCTTGGTGCAGCAGTCTGTAACCCACAAGATACAGAGTTGTTAAATAAGTCGTTTAAAACAGTATAAAGATTCTGTTGCTTTGTTTTAATAATGATTTATTTCTGTCTTAATAATGATTTATTTATTTATTTAATTTAATAATGATTTGTCCTGTCTAGAAAATTACAAAGTATTTCCACAAATGAAGAGTCAAAAATTACTTACCCTGTTGAATGAAATAGTCGGGTATGATGGAAAGAGGATCTACTCGGGGAGGGGAAAAAAACCCCAAAAACTCAGATTCAGAATTCTGATTGAAGTACAAATTTCTACAGATTTCCAGCTGCATTATGAATTTTCATACTTAATGACCTTTAATGAACAGGAAGAGCAGGACACTTGGCTATTCCTGCCAAGGGCACTCACTTTAGGAATATGTAGAAAGTGATTTTTCATTTTGAGTGTATAGAAGGCTATTTGTATCTCCCTGAATTGGCTCAGTGTTCTTAGCTTAAATAAATACATGCAGTGGTACCATTTTAGAACTATTTGATTCATGTAAATTCAATGATGAATCCGCAGGGAGGGATAGTCTCATTGGTTCCGGCAACCCTCTTTGCCTGTCCACCATGGACAGGTGCACAGGGAGCAGGGGCTGGGAGGCCCGAGCTTACTCTGCCCCTAGCTGCTCTCAGGTCTTGTCTGTGGCTTGTGTCTGTGACCAGCTCCTCCTCCTAGGCATGATTCCTCCACTCAAAGACACATGTTTCCCTTGAAATAAGCCATTGACCTTATCTGGTATTCCACTTAGAAAAGCATCTAAGAAGTCATTCTGAGTCCCGAATTTCATCTTGGGCTGACTTCAGAGTCTTGCATCTCAGTCTGCCCTGCCCCCATGAGCTGTGACCCCTTGTTCCTTTTGTGAAAAGCGATCCTTGTATTGCTCGTTTCCTGAGTGTCGCTTGTGTGTTTTCACGAACCATGGAAGGTTTTTGCAAAGTGCACTTCTGTATTTCTGGGCCCTTCGGCAGTTGGCAGGCTGGGCCAGCCGCAGGAGAGGAGGCGGCCGGGTGCCCTGTGGGCGGGATGCTGCCAGCTTCTGGCCTGCGGGGTGCCTGCTCAGACTAGGCACCCTGAGCACTCTTTAGAAATGGATGAATGGATACATTGATTTTATTCAGAGAAGAGGCTAATGACAGGCTCTCAGTTACATTAATAATTCATTAAATGCAGAAAGTGTAAAAATAAAAACTTACCCTTGTTTTTCTGATTGATACTAGTATTTCAGTGCATATTCATGTAGCTCATTTCATACTTCTGATGGAAGCCAGTAAGCCAATTTAATGGAAATGAACACTTTGACACAGATTAGAGTTTATATAATGCATACATTCTTGGAAAGCTTCATCACCTTTTTTTATGCATTGAAAACTGACATCCAGCTCAGCTGCCATCAGCATTTGGATTTTTCTTACCAACTGAATGTTTCTATGTAGTTTCTTAGAATTTCAAGAGCAGTCTAACTACTAGGTTTCTCTTTTTCTTCTGTTTTTTCATCATTTTAAAGATTCCAGGTTATTGAATTTCATTTGCTTGTACTTCAAACAACAACAAAAAATTGAGTTCTGCTTGTGAAAAAGCAAACGTGCTAATGTGGCTTATATTTATTCTCCCTTATTTTCCTCAGAGCCCTGGAAACCAATAGGTATAACCACATCACGGCCACTTACTTCTTGCTTGCTGAAAGGATCCTGAGGGAAAAGCAAGAGAAAGAAATACAAACCAGATCTGCAAGTCCTAGCAATATCAAGGCCCAGTTTAGGTGAGAACAAAATCTTCACTGATTTTAGTAAGTTAATGTTTTGAAATAGAGAGCCCCTATGCTTCCTAACTCTTTGGGGCACGAGTATAAACCATGGTGACAGCCTCACTGGTGGGGCCATGCCTGGGCTCTCCATGTGTGGGAGTCTTGTTCCCCCATCATCAAGGCCACCTTCCCTCCTGGGGCCGCAGCAGAGGAGCTGTGGCTGTTGGCCTGCTCAGGAGAACACGTTTGGAGAAGCAGCCTCAAGCAGAGTGTCTGTCAACTACTTTCATTAAACTGTTCCAGATCTGATATGTATTAATGTGTTATTTTCTTTTCATTTTGTTTTCATTCCAGCAACAAAGCCAAGTTTTCCCTCCATTATTTCAAATAATTTTTAAGAACACTTAGGGTGTTTCTGTGCTGTGATGTTATCTCAGGATTTCAGTGATTTGACATATCAGCTAGTTGATTTATTGGCTGCTTGACCTTCGGAGGTCACGTCACCTCTTTTTGACTCAGCTTCCTGGTCTGTGAAATGAGGGTAATGCCACAATCTGCCTCCTGAGCTGCGCTCCACGTGTTTGCGGTCACTGTTAGGAGTATTTCACCACCACTGGTGTCTTTGGTAAAGTTGTGACTGTGCTCTCCCCTGTTTTTTCCCCTCTTCCCCCCTCCCCTCCCCCCTCCCACTTTGCTTTTTCTTCTGCTGTATTAGCTTTCCATTTAAAATCAAGGCTAGGGAGGTCACATTTTTACATGACCACTATGAAAGCTATGTAGAATTTATCTTTCCCTCTCCAGATAGAATAATCCATGGAAGTGTAGTGATTGAAAAACAGAAGGTTGCTCCCAGTTCTGAATAATTCTCTACTCATACATCCATATACAAATATGTGTGTGTGAATATGTAATAATAATTATTTACAATAGGCAGAAAGCCATTGGATTTAAATTACTTGCAGTCAGCTTGCTATGTGTATGTTGTTACTTGGGATGCAGCAACAGAGACGAGAGAAGAAAACATTTCTGGGTGACCAAAGAATAAAGATTTAGAAATTTAGAACTGGACTCAGTACCTTCGTTTATATCTTGGATGGAGGCTTCTGTAATGAAACGTAGGCACACTGTCTGCTATCTGTGTGGAAAGGATGGGTCCCAGGAAGCCAAGGACTCGGGCAGGAGACAGTCCAGGACAGTGACTTTGAGTGGTGAGGTCATCCTAGTCCTGACCTGAACTCCCTGATGGAAAAGAGCAGGTTAACCACGCCTTGGGCCAAGCGTCTGGGGTCACCCCAGCCTTACAGAACGGACTCTTTGGATTTGAGCCGTTTTCAGCGACACAGGAAAGTTGATCACATATGTGAATGAGTTAAGTTGCTTTTACCTTATTCTTAAAGTCACCAAGCCAACAGAGGCTCTAAAGAAATATCAGAGCCTTCCCTCAAGTTTTCCTTTCATCCTCTTGGGGATGCTGGAGTGGAGGGGCTGTGTGGGCCTCGCCTCCTCCCCAGCCCAAGGCAAGTCATGCTTCTACTTCTACTTCCTGGCCTTATTTTTACTGTCACTGTGACTTTATGGTTAAAACCCCAGACCTGACTTGGTTCTGTCGCTGGACATGCCTTCAGGTCAGAGTGGCCTGGGGCTCCGGACCCTAGACTGAGTCAGGAGACAGGTATTTGAACGGGCATAGCTGTTCCGGAGGTTGAGGTAGGCAGGGTGAGCCAGGGAGCCCCAAGTGCACAGAGAGTGCCTCCTTCGGGTCCTGCCAGTGTGGGCTGGAAGTGTGGTGTGGTCTGAGTATTAGAAGAGGCCTCTGGAGGTCCTCCAAGGAGTAGACCCCAGCAAGGGAGGGCTCAGTGCCAGCATCCTCTCAGAGCTCAGGAAGTGAGGAGGAGCACGGAGACCAGACCAGACCGCAGTAGCCCCTCAGAAGCTCCCGCGGGGGTGGGGGGTGGGGTGGGGGGTGGGGTTGGGGGGGTGGAGAGTAGCCTTGGAACCCCAGGCTACATGTTGTCCTCAAGCCTGCGCCACCTTGGGCAGGTTTCTTACCCTGTCTGCATTCTTACTTGTTCATCTGTGAAGGGGATAATAGTGGCCCCCACTTGTGGAGGGGTGGGGGGATGAAGCACGTCCATCCCTGTCAGGTTCCCGTGGTGGTGCTGGCTCCAGTAGGCCCTCAGGCCTTGTGAACTGTACTGTCCATGTGACTCATTTCTAATTCTTGTTTAGCAGTCTCTCCTCTCTTTTGTTAACATAAGCCATAGTTTGCTCACAGTGTTCTGGCAATAAAGATGACTTAGTTTAGCACAGCATTGAGCTCAGATGTGTGCTCAGTTAATGTGAGCTATTGAACCATTTGATGTACTTCAGACCTGTTGGTTCAGAAGTGGCCAGTGGTGGAACTACCCCAGTGGCAGCACCCACCCATCCACCCACCCATCCTGTTTTGGGGAGTGGGTTCTGAGAACGCTTTTGGCTTTCTTTTCAAGTGGGGTGGAGGCAAGGAGAGAAGATCCTCCACCACGTGTGGATCCCTCATCCTGGATGGCGCCAGCTGCCACTCTGCTGGGTGGGACCCAGTCGGCAGGTGGCCTCCCAGCCCAGGGCTCCAGGGTGTTTGTGTGCGTGAGGGCCAGAGTGTGCAGTTCCCCAGAGCTGCAGGCCTGGCCAGGGTTTTGAGCATTTGCGTTGGTGGGGGAAAGAGGACTGGTCCAAAGGCACTTAGTGACCTCAAAGATGTTATCCAACACTCGGTTGTTATAAACTACCAAAGCAATGACAAGCACAAATGGACCCCACTCCACTGACAAAGAGGAAATGGCTCTGAGTTGGGGGAAAATGTCTGTCGTAAATTCCTATGAGTTTTTTTTAAAGCTGTAGATTTAATTGAGTTTTATTTCTAGGATAAGATAATTGGAGTGAAATGAAAGTGTTGTAGTGTGGAAGTTACTGTTTTAAAGATCTCTGGCATCTGCTATTCCCCGGACAGAGCACAGTTGAGAATTCCAAAACAGGCTGGAGACCTGTTTCAAAAGTTTTTTTTCTTTGGCTGCCAGACAGTGTTCTTGTTACTTGGGTGACTTTAGATTGGGGAATAAAATCAAAGTTTAAATAATTGTGGATTTGCTGCTTATTATAATTGTGTGGACATTTAAAAATACATGTATTTATATTTAGTGTTGTGTGTTTTATAATTGGTGAAGGAGAGATGTATGTGTGCCAGCGTCCATGGACTTTTCTTTGCAGTATTCTCGGGTTTAATCCACTGAATTATTTCCATTTATTTTTATAAACACCAAACTTTTATACCATCCTGTCATACTTGGAAGACTGGGAATTTCAGGTGAATTGTATTTGATTCTTTCAGGTGAATTTTATTAGCAAACCATTGCCCTTCAAAGGTGGTGATCTATGATCCAAAGGAATGAAACATGTGGTGTTTGGTGTTTTTGCTTTGGTGATCTCCCTTGTGCTTTTTTAAACTGCTTTTCTTGTGGTGTGAGACTAGTATGGGAAAGATGGAGTAGCTCTTGGCCTCCTTTTTCTGGTGGCTCTGATGAAGTTCTCCTTTGGCTGGTAAACCACAGACCGAGCCGTGTTTCAGAAGCACATTTGCCCTGCTGGTGTCCTTCACAGGATGGTGAATGGGTTTGCAAGGCTGTGGTTTCTCTCTTTTCTTTTCTTTTTTTATGTATTTATTTTTTTAGTCCATGGATTTTGCCCCAGTAAGTTTTATGTGATACAGTTTGAGTAAAGTCTGCATATTATGTGGTTTTCTTTTTCCAATCTGTTACACAGGCAGTCGTGGCCAACCAAAATTGATGTTCCCCAGGACCTTGAGGATGATCTCACAGCCACTCCTCTGTCCCATGCAACTGTCCCTCAGTCTCCCGCACGGGCTGCTGACAATGTCCTCAATGGCCACCGGAGCAAAGGCCTGTGTGACGCAGCTAAGAAGGATGAGCTCCCGGAGCTGGCTGGCCCGGCGCTGTCTACGGTGTCACCTGCGAGCCTGAAACCCACGGCCAGTGGGCGCAAGTGCCTATTCCGGGTGGAGGAGGACGAAGAGGAAGATGAAGAGGACAAGAAGCCCATGTCCCTCTCTACCCAAGTGGTCCTGCGCCGGAAGCCGTCGGTGACCAACCGGCTGACGTCGAGGAAGAGCGCTCCAGTCCTCAACCAGATCTTTGAGGAGGGGGAGTCCGATGACGAGTTCGACATGGATGAGAACCTGCCTCCCAAGCTGAGCCGGCTCAAGATGAACATCGCCTCCCCGGGCACTGTGCACAAGCGCTATCACCGCAGGAAAAGCCAGGGCCGCGGCTCCAGCTGCAGCAGCTCGGAGACTAGCGACGACGACTCGGAGAGCCGGCGGCGGCTGGACAAGGACAGTGGCTTCACTTACTCATGGCACCGGCGGGATAGCAGCGAGGGCCCCCCGGGCAGCGAGGGTGACGGCGGCGGCCAGGGCAAGCCGAGCGCGGGCGGCGGCAGTGCGGACCAGGCCAGCCCGGGTGAGAAGAGTGCGGGCGGGGGCAGCCCCGCGGGCGGCTCGGGTGGGAAGCCCACTGGCACGTCGGGCAGCACCCGCCGCTGTGCTGGCCCCGGGCCTGGGGAGCTGGTGCAGAGCCTCAAGCTCATGAGCCTCTGCCTGGGCTCCCAGCTGCACAGCGGCGCCAAGTACATTATCGATCCGCAGGGTGGCCTGTCCTTCTCCAGCGTCAAGGTCCAGGAGAAGTCCACGTGGAAGATGTGCATCAGCTCCACGGGGAGCGCAGGCCAGGCCCCCGGAGTGGGTGGCATCAAGTTCTTCTCTGACCACGTGGCGGACAGCTCCACCGAGTTAGAACGGATAAAGAGCAAGAACCTGAAAAATAACGTGCTACAGCTACCTCTGTGCGAAAAGACCATCTCTGTGAACATCCAGCGGAACCCTAAGGACGGGCTGCTGTGCGCCTCCAGCCAGGCCAGCTGCTGCCACGTCATCTGACCTTGGCCCCCACTGGCCACTGGCGCGCTTCCTGCTCTGAGTGGTGAAGACCGGCTCACTTCACTGCTCTCTTTTGGTTTTACTCTTTTAAAGTGGGCGTTAGGAGCAGTTATTTATTACCTTTTCGTTGGTCCGCCTGACGATGTGACAATGCATGGTCTTTGTGCATGCTGCTAGATACTACTTTTCTTTTCCAGCCGAAAAGTCTATTGTGTAATTTTTACATTTATAATTTTAATGTGGATGATCAGGATTAAATTAAAATGTATATTTGGAACCTAATATAAATGGAGCACTTAGAAATGTGTGATGTTCTGCACTTAACATAGAGAAAAAAATGCTTTTGTTTCCTTGTGAAAACTCTAAATTCCTGTCCTGACCTTCTGTGATAACAGAAACTCCGTGCTCGGAGGCACACTCCGTGGTGTCTGAGACAGAACCAAAGCAATAACGTGATGCCGACAGGCCTGGTGCCTGTGAGCGTGTGCGTGCCCCACCCTCCGAGGCCTGTGTGGAGCCAGTACAGCGAGCGTCTGCACTGAGAACCTTAAAACCACGATTTCAACATACCCACACCTGTTTGTCTTAAGCTATAGTGTGAAAACAAGTTTGGGCTCTTAAAATTTAACTGAAAAAAATTTTCTTGTTTTGTACTAGGTGAGATAAAGTACTTAGATTTATAAGGCAGCTTCCCCTGTAGTGGTAAATTACAAGCAGACAATCTTACTTTGTAATGTGATGAAGTGAACTGATGGTGTCTTAACTCTACTTGCAGAGTGTATAGTCTGTCTGACAGAAAAGATGCTCAGTGTCCATTCTTTCCTAAAGGGCACACCCTAGGGTTTCCTTTAAAACCATGGAGATAGAGGAAGCTGTACGGCCTGTTACGGGAGCAGAGGTGCACATAGGTTGGCAAAGTCAAAACCCTATGAAGTGTAAAAAAAAAAAAAAAAAAAAAATACCCGGGATTTTTTTAGGAGTTTGGTAATTAGATCGACTCTTTTGTTTTTTTCCATTCTTCTATATCCTTTAGCTCAATAAGCTATGAAAATTGGCTGATTAAACACACAAAAGAGTAAAATTCACACAGCAAACAAAATGCACAAAACCTGCTTTTTTGTTTTGTTTTTGTTTTCGTTTTTCTGGAAGTGTTTTTCACTTTGCCGTCCTGCCAAAATAATAAAGAACTCTTGCTTTAAACTGTTCCTGTACAAAGACTACTTTTGACCAGATAATCATCTTTCATGGCATTTTATCTTGTAAGACGCAGTATATTGGCAGATTGCTAATTTTAGAAGGGGCCAGATGCTACTTGTTCATGCTGTGCCCTGGGGGTCTTCAAAGCAGTGCTTTTCCACACTGGTGATAGGATGTGGCTGGGCTGGGGTTAGGGGAGGGGAGCTTCCCCACACATGTCTCTGAGTGGGCAGAGCACCAAAGGACTGCATTCCATTGGTCGTGGTTTCTCCAAGTACACACCGACTCTGCTCCTTAGGGTTCATACATTTTACTCTGAACTCTGAATTTCACAATATACTTACTAAACTAAGATGATACTTAAAATACTTATTTTACTTTCTAGACCTAGGCTAGATATGTTTTAAGCTACAGCTCTAGTTCATTGTGATATTTATGATTGAAAGCTACCAGAAAAGATGTGTGGGTGAAGCCATAGAACATATTTGCTTGAAATTCTTGAGCAGGGATCTTATAAAGGGCCAGAAATAAGATGTGTGGTTCACATAGATAGTGAGCGTAACATCTGTATTAAACGTAGGAGAGAAGTTTATAAAGGGCATTGGCAATAAACTCTTTGTTGCAGCTGTTTTCCAAGTAATGTAAATACTTCTTCCTGTGATAATGTATAGCCTTGGAATGGCACCTTTTAACCCATATGTGTTTGTTTTCCAATGGTTTTTTATATTCAGATGTATATATGGTGCTCACTCTAGGATCAGCAGTGTTGACCGTCTATGCTGCATAGCTGTATTATAGCCTTATTAGTTGTGTGTGGTTGGTTGGCCCTCTGGGTATACAGATGTTAGTCTGAGTGGCGTCTTACTCATTTGTTCATAAGTGAATGATTGTGCATGTGTTGTATGTCATAGTATGTCGTCACATAAAAGGGAGGGAGCAAATAACCATTACATTAAGATAATATTGGACCAAACTATTTACTAGCTCTAAAGTTTCTTGTACCCCTTAACCTGTCTTCAGAAGTTGCATAGAGTTATAGTAGTGTGTAAATTCAACATTGTGGAAAAACAATTAGTCTTGTATTTTTCTGTACGTGTGTGTACATATATTATATATATATACACATATATATACATATATATATATAAAATTATGTACTTCTGGCAATTCTATCTGTATTTAAAGATGTGACAATCTTGACACCGATTTTAAGAATAGCTGAGACTGAATCAGAATAAAGATATCCCTACCAAGTAAGAATTGATGTGTTAAGAGGGTACAGAATTATCAGCTGATTGGTCGATTGCTTCCACTGCTGGTTGATTTCCTCATTGTGTAAACATTGACAGGTATGTGACAGATGGGAAAAAAATCCAAATAATAAAGTGGCATATTGGTGTTCAGCAATATAAACCGTGTCCCGTGTTTCTCTTTCTTCTCCTGAATGCAGCTTTCTCAACAGACTCAGCCTGGGTGACATGCAACTCTGCACATGCTGTGTACCTGCACTGCCAGATGCAACTGAAAAAATAGAATTGTGACTGTCCTTGGTTTAAACTCATGGCCACAAAAATAAATGAATAAATAAACAAACTCATGACCACAAGTGGCTCCAGGACTGCCTGCTAATTATGCTTTATTTCCCAATTCATGGCTTCCCTCACTTGGCTGGTCATCATGCTCTCAAATAATGGAATGAAGTGAAGCCATTGAAACTGCTGCAGGCTCCCACTTCCTCCTCCCACCTTCATCTGAACCCGCATGCCCTGCCCTTGCTCCTGGTGTGTGATTCCGAGGTCAGTTCCTTTACTCACACCTTGAGGCTTTATGGCTGTGAGTGAGGCAGCCATGAGGACTGCTCACTCCCTGCTTTCTCTTGCACCATCCATCTTTGCTTCACTGCTAGATCATTCCTAATGGCAAACAAAACAAGACTTGATTTCCCTACCTTAAAGAGATGTCTTTGTTCTCTCTCCTCTTGGTTCTTTGAACCCTTCCAGTCAGGCACTTGCTGCTGCCACCTCCCCCCATCCCCGGCCCATAACGCTTTGCTCAAGGTTATTCTTTCCAGCACTCCATGCGCTAAAAAAATGGTGAGTTTTTAAAAACAGCTTTAGAGATATAATCCACATGGCACACAACTTCCCAGTTGTACAATTCCATGCTTTTCGTGTATTCTCAGAGTTGTGCAACCATTCCATAAACCCAAAAGGGAATCTGTACCTGTTTGTACTTCCTCCCTTCCTGTCAGTTACCCACTGGGGCCTTAACCCTGGTGACTGCTGACCCTGGCAGTCAGCTTCTAACTCTTGGTAAGTTGGTCACCCCTTCCTCATAAATCTCTCATTTTGGGCTCCACTTGCGCCTCACTGCTCTTCATCCCACTGGCTCGTCTCTCAACTTCTGTGCTTGGAGTACCCCAAGGTTCCTTTCTGGATCTTTCTCTGCACTTAGTCTCTTGGTTATCCCATTCAATCTAACATTTGTGTGCTGATAGAACCCCAAAGTATATGTAGTCCACCTACCACAAGCCAGATTCTAGCACACTGTTTGACTTCTCTCCATGTTTGTGTCTAATAAGCACCTTTTTTTACATGCCCCAAACTTAGAACCTCCCCCTTAAATCCTTCCCTTCCTAATGCTTCACATCTCATAAATGGTGGCTCTAAACCTTTTACACAAGTCCAGAATCTGGGAATCCTCCTTCCCTCTGTAATCCCAATATCCAAACCATTAGCAAATCTTAGGCACCATTCAGAAATGGATCCCTTCTCACTGCCTTCACTGCTAACACTTTAGTCCGTGGTACCATCATCACAACTGGACAACTGTAAACGCCTCCTGGAGGGTGCTGCTGCTTTTGCCCTTGCCATTTCTTTTGACTTTCTCTTCAGCAGTGTGAGTGAGACTTTTAAAAGCTAAACCAGGAGGAGGGGAGGGATGGTGGAAGAGTAGGGTCCCCAAGTCCCCTGTCCCCACCAAATTACCTAGATAAACCTCAAATCATCCTGAAAATCTACGAATTCGGCCTGAGATTTAAAGAGAGACCACCTGGAACGCTACAGTGAGAAGAGTTCGCGCTTCTATCAGGTAGGAAGACGGGGAAAAAGAAATAAAGGAACAAAAGGCCTCCGAGGGGGAGGGGCCCGCGAGGAGCCGGGCTGAGGCCGGGGCGAGTGTCCCCAGGACAGGAGAGCCCCGTCCCGGAGGAGCAGGAGCTGCACCAACCTTCCCGGGCGGAAAGGGGCTCGCAGGGAGTTGGAGCAGGACCCAGGAGGGCGGGGATGCCCTCGGGCTCCCGGGGACACTAACAGACACCTGCGCCCCGGGAGAGTGCGCCGAGCTCCCTAAGGGCTGCAGCGCGCACGGCGGGGCCGGAGCAGCTCGGAGGGGCTCGGGCGGCGGCTCCGCGGAGGGGGCTGCGGGGCGGGAGCGCGAATCCCACAGCGCAGGCTCCGGAGCACAGGGCCCGGGACACAGCCCAGGATCCGGCCTCCCCCGGGACAGGCAGAGGCCGGGAGGGCCCAGGACAGCGAGGACGCTCCTGCCCCGAGCTGAGCAGATCAGCGGCCCCGCCCCGGAGCCTCCAGGCCCTGCAGACGGAGAGCTCCGGGGTTACTGCGGGAGCTGACTCCAGGCTCCAGAGCTGGCCCCGCCACTGCGGTTGTTCCTCCTGGGGCCTCACGGGGTAAACAGCCCCCACTGAGCCCTGCACCAGGCAGGGGCAGAGCAGCTCCCCCAAGTGCTAACACCTGAAAATCAGCACAACAGGCCCCTCCCCCAGAAGACCAGCTGGACGGACCAATTCCAGGGGAAGTCAAGGGACTTAAAGTCTACAGATTCAGAAGATACTCCCCCGTGGTTTTTGTTTTTTTTTCTTTTTTCTTTGCTTTTTGATTTCTGATTGCTTCCCCCACCCCCCCCTTTTTTTTACCTTTCTTTCTTTTTCTTTCTCTTTTTCTTCTCTTTTTTCCTTTTTTTTCTTCTTTTTCTATTTTCTCTTTTCTTTTCTTTCCTTCTCTTTCTCTGCGTTTCCCAATACAACTTGTTTTTGGCCACTCTGCACTGAGCAAAATGAGTAGAAGGAAAACCTCACCTCAAAAGAAAGAATCAGAAACAGTCCTCTCTCCCACAGAGTTACAAAATCTGGATTACAATTCAATGTCAGAAAGCCAATTCAGAAGCACTATTATACAGCTACTGGTGGCTCTAGAGAAAAGCATTAAGGACTCACGAGACTTCATGATTGCAGAATTTAGATCCAATCAGGCAGAAATTAAAAATCAATTGAATGAGATGCAATCCAAACTAGAAGTCCTAACGACCAGGGTTAACGAGGTGGAAGAACGAGTGAGTGACATAGAAGACAAGTTAATGGCAAAGAGGGAAACTGAGGAAAAAAGACAAACAATTAAAAGACCATGAAGACAGCTTAAGGGAAATAAATCACAGCCTAAGGAAGAAAAACCTATGTTTAATTGGGGTTCCCGAGGGCGCCGAAAGGGCCAGAGGGCCAGAATATGTATTTGAACAAATCCTAGCTGAAAACTTTCCCAATCTGGGAAGGGAAACAGGCATTCAGATCCGGGAAATAGACAGATCCCCCCCTAAAATCAATAAAAACCGTTCAACACCTCGACATTTAATAGTGAAGCTTGCAAATTCCAAAGATAAAGAGAAGATCCTTAAAGCAGCAAGAGACAAGAAGTCCCTGACTTTCATGGGGAGGAATATTAGGGTAACAGCAGACCTCTCCACAGAGACGTGGCGGGCCAGAAAGGGCTGGCAGGATATATTCAGGATCCTAAATGAGAAGAACATGCAACCAAGAATACTTTATCCAGCAAGGCTCTCATTCAAAATGGAAGGAGAGATAAAGAGCTTCCAAGACAGGCAGGAACTGAAAGAATATGTGACCTCCAAACCAGCTCTGCAAGAAATTTTAAGGGGGACTCTTAAAATTCCCCTTTAAGAAGAAGTTCAGTGGAACAATCCACAAAAACAAGGACTAAATAGATATCATGATGACACTAAACTCATATCTGTCAATAGTAACTCTGAACGTGAACGGGCTTAATGACCCCATCAAAAGGCGCAGGGTTTCAGACTGGATAAAAAAGCAGGACCCATCTATTTGCTGTCTACAAGAGACTCATTTTAGACAGAAGGACACCTACAACCTGAAAATAAAAGGTTGGAGAACCATTTACCATTCAAATGGTTCTCAAAAGAAAGCAGGGGTAGCCATCCTTATATCAGATAAACTAAAATTTACCCCGAAGACTGTAGTGAGAGATGAAGAGGGACACTATATCATACTTAAAGGATCTATCCAACAAGAGGACTTAACAATCCTCAATTTATATGCCCCGAATGTGGGAGCTGCCAAATACTTAAACGAATTATTAACCAAAGTGAAGAAATACTTAGATAATAATACACTTATACTTGGTGACTTCAATCTAGCTCTTTCTACCCTCGATAGGTCTTCTAAGCACAACATCTCCAAAGAAACGAGAGCTTTAAATGATACACTGGACCAGATAGATTTCACAGATATCTACAGAACTTTACATCCAAACTCAACTGAATACACATTCTTCTCAAGTGCACATGGAACTTTCTCCAGAATAGACCACATACTGGGTCACAAATCGGGTCTGAACCGATACCAAAAGATTGGGATCGTCCCCTGCATATTCTCAGACCATAACGCCTTGAAATTAGAACTCAATCACAAGAAGAAGTTTGGAAGGACCTCAAACACGTGGATGTTAAGGACCATCCTGCTAAAAGATAAAAGGGTCAACCAGGAAATTAAGGAAGAATTAAAAAGATTCATGGAAACTAATGAGAATGAAGATACAACCGTTCAAAATCTTTGTGATGCAGCAAAAGCAGTCCTGAGGGGGAAATAACATCGCAATACAAGCATCCATTCAAAAACTGGAAAGAACTCAAATACAAAAGCTAACCTTACACATAAAGGAGCTAGAGAAAAAGCAGCAAATCGACCCGACACCCAGCAGAAGAAGAGAGTTAATTAAAATTCGAGCAGAACTCAACGAAATTGAGACCAGAAGAACTGTGGAACAGATCAATAGAACCAGGAGTTGGTTCTTTGAAAGAATTAATAAGATAGATAAACCATTAGCCAACCTTATTAAAAAGAAGAGAGAGAAGACTCAAATTAATAAAATCATGAATGAGAAAGGAGAGATCACTACCAACACTAAGGAAATACAAACGATTTTAAAAACATATTATGAACAGCTCTACGCCAATAAATTAGGCAATCTAGAAGAAATGGACGCATTCCTGGAAAGCCACAAACTACCAAAACTGGAACAGGAAGAAATAGAAAACCTGAACAGGCCAATAACCAGGGAGGAAATTGAAGAAGTCATCA